CGCTGGAGGAGGCGGTGCACGTGCAGGTGGGGACGCGGGCGGCGCGCGGGGGGCGCAACGGGCGGGGAGGGGCGTGCCGGGCTGGCGGCCGGGTCCTGGTTAGGCCTGGAGCCGCAGGGTTGTTGCGAACGGGCAGTTAAGCCTCAGAGGAGGTGGGTTTGGGAGTGAGAACTTGGGAGCCCCGGCTGATACGCACATGTCCTTGACCTCGTCCACCACGGCGGGTCCACCACACTGCCCTTGGGTTGGAAGAAGGTCTGCCCCCCCTTTTGTTTTAAAGATTTTATTTATTTATTTGACAGAGAGAGAGTGAGAGCAGGAACACAAGCAGGGGGAGTGGGAGAGGGAGAAGCAGGCTTCCCACGGAGCAGGGAGCCCGATATGGGGCTCGATCCCAGGACCCTGGGACCATGACCTGAGCCGAAGGCAGAGCTTAACGACTGACCCACCCAGGCGCCCCAGGTCTGCTCTTTAACGCAGATGAAAAGCCACACAGACATCTCTGGTTTTCTCTCCTGGAGTTCACAGGCAGGGGCTGGGGAGTGCTTGATTGCTTGCCCTAGGAGCCGCCTCCAGCCACCCACTCCGCCCTTCCCCTCCCCCCTTCCCCCCCCCACCCCGCCAGTTCCGGTTCCACGCATTTAACAGCCTGTGGGGAGCTGTGACAGCCATTTTATTGATAAGAAAAGGAAGGTTCTGGAAGCTGAGGCTGGCTTTCAGTCCAGGACTCCACAGCTGGATTGCCCCCACTGGCCCATTCTCACCTTGGAGCCCTCACCCGTGCGGAATCCTAATAGTGGTCAGGGGCTCTAGACTTTTGTTCCGCCCTTGGGGACAACTTGTTCTGTGGCTCTGGTCAAATCCGTCTGCCTCCCTGGGATAAGCAGGCCCTCCTGTCTCTGACAGATGTAGATTCTACCCCTTCCTCCTCCTAGAAGTCTTCTGTGATTAATGACCTTTCTCTTCACATTATGACAACCTTGGAGCTCCAGGATGAAAATGGGCATTGTGGGGGCTGGTCCAGTTGGTGGAGTCCTGGGTTTCAGGCCTGCCTCTGCCTCCAAGGTCTTCCTTTTCTTATCTATATAATGGTTGTAATAATAATAGCTCCTCAGAGGCTGTCTCCAGAGTTAACATGGCTGCTTTCCAGAGATAGGGCTTGGGTGTCTCAAGGGCAGGTCCACCCACCCACCTACCTACCTATGAACTCATTTTGTGTTCACACATCTACCCACTCACCTGTTTATCCATCATCCTTCCATCCGCTCATCAAACATCCATTCAGCACATACCTTATGCCATGAGCTAAGGAATAGATCAATTCTTCCCTCATCTGGAGGAGTTCACTGGCTGGTGGGGTGAGAACAGATGGTGACAATACAGTGTGGTAAGTATTGTAATTGGGAAGCCAGAGAGAAGACAATGTGAAATAGGAAGAGGGAGCCTAGGAAGACTTCCTGGAGGAGTGCCATTGGAACTGTCCTTGAAGGCTGAGTAGGATTTTACCAGGTAGCATTGACAGGAGAAGCATCCTGGGACTGGAAGGGTGATGGACAGCAGCTAGACTTGAAGGCTTAGAAATCACAGTGGGGTGAGGACGTGCTCCTGGAATTTGAGGCTATGGCTTGTACTTCGGTTACCATTGTGTCCCCATCCCCACCCACTACCTAGAATACAGCTGCCCACAGCAGCAAATGCTTGTTGGATGTTACAGTGACAGTAAGAACTCTGTCGAGTATTTAGTGCCTGCCAAGCACTGCACCCAGCGCTCTGTGTACTTCTCATTCTCTGTGGTGACGCCGTGGGGTTAGCTCCATGTTTATAGCTGAGGAAACAGGTTTAGAGCGGTGAAGTCACTCACTCGGTTCCCATGAAGGGGGAACCAGGACTCAGATCTAGGAGGTCCCGTGTGACTCTGGGGCTGGTGCTCCTCACAGCTTCCTGGGTGCCTCCAGCTGTCCACTCGAAGCTGGCAGCCCTTGGTCATTGTGTTCAATTGAGCAGATGCTTCTGGGTCACTCCCTGGTCCCTGGGGGCGGAGCCAGGAATGGAGCAGGCCTGCCCTCAGAAAGCTTTCCGTTGGCTGGGCAGCCAGACCTGGGCCCCGCAGCTGAGTGTAAGGCCAGCCGTAAGAAGGCCCAGATAGAGGTGAGGTCAGACCTGTGGGGAAGAGGGTCGCAGAGCACACCTGTGGAAAAACAGCAGTCACAAAACAGAGATATGGAAGGGAGCCATTTCAGGTGGGAGAGAGATGGGAGCATGAACCCCCACAGACCTTACACATGCAGGTTTTCTGAACCCCTGTCCAGGCCAGAGGGCCACAGGCTCCCTGGAATGTACGTTCCACGAGAGCAGCCCCTATGACAGGGCCTGGCACATAGTAGGTGCTCAGTTAATACTGACTCTGTAAGTGAATGCTCTTCCCCTGCCCCAAGCTGTTTGCCTTAAGGTCCTATTTGAGAAAATCAGGTCATAGTAGGATTGTTCTAGAAAAAAGGGAGGGGGCGTCAAGGTTTGAAGAATATCTGACGTGGGCCTCTGAGGATCAGAGGGACCCTAGTTCCAGCTCATCTTCCAGTTTGCCCCGTGACTCTGGGCCCAGTCATCTCACCTTTTGAGTCTCAGATACCTCAACTGAAGCAAAATACAGGGGTGGGAGATGACCCCCAGGGTGGCTTGTTATCTCAAGAGTCACAGTATTAATTTTTCCTAACTCCTTCACATACAGAAACTCATCCAAGAATGTTTAAAGCAGTTGGAAGCCAAGAAGCACCAGCAAGTTGGCAACATAACCCAAATAGAAGACGCTGCTGAGAAGCTCAAGGCAAGTGGACATTTCTTCCTTATTCTAGTTGAGATGTCCACACTTCCCCTCGGACACAAGGCTCTC